TAGAATAAAGACAAAAAAACTCATCTTAGGAGAAAGTAGCATGACGTAAAAGTGTACACCTGGATTATTTGGCCGTGTTCTCAGGGTGACCTGAATGGACGCTGCGTGTCCAAGGTCCTCTGCTATGGAAATTATGATAATTCCCAGGGTTTGACCATGGACTTGGTACATTCCCAGACGAATCGCCAGCATCGTAGTCGTCACCGTCAGTGAGTCTTGCTATTTTTAATGCCATACAACAACTCGTCAAAGAGACAAGTTGCCGGCCATGGCGAGACTCACTGACAATTCCAGCTACGAGGATGGTGAATCGTCTGAGAATGTATCAAGTTAACGGTTCAACGCTGGGAATTATCATAACTACTATGGCCGATGACATCGGACAAGGTGCATCCATTCAGGTTGCCCTGACAACATGACCAAGTCTCGAAAACGAGGTCAGATCACGTCTATGCATCAAAATTAGATTGTGATCAAACTAGAGGCTACAATATCTTGGTCCTTATACCTGTGAAAAAATAAGTTGCACACTTCTATTCGTAGTATCTTATAATTAGTTTTCAAAGGAGAGTTGTATGTCAGCCCCACTCGAAATAGCTTAATTGGAGATTATAAAAGGTCTAACGTCCATTCTGGACAGCATAGTTCGGAAAGGACGCTAAGTGGGAAGGCAGAGCAGTTCACAACTGTTATTTCACTATTTTTGAAGCTGTTTAATCAAGGCAAATCAAGTTGACAACCAGAACGGTAATTATGCCTAGTCACCTTTGTGTTTCCGCTGAACCGAGAACTGTAGTCATCAGACTTTACTTTGTCATGTATCTTATGCAACATATCTTGCGAAATGGGCTGATCAAACGTTTTGAAATCTAGTTAGCCTCTATATCTCTTTCTACTTTGCGCATACATGCTTATTCAAAAAGACTCATCTCTTGCCCTATGATCTGGTATCTTTCATGCAGCTTTGCATTCCGTACTAGCTAAAAACACATATTGTAAAAAGACTTTATGCACACCGAAGTAAAGTTTTCAATGTGGCTGTGATCTTGACAAGTGAGTACAGAGGTCGCTCAAGTAAGCATAACTGTTAAACTGCGCATTATTCGTTCAGGCGTCACGCAGAAAGCGAGTGAAATAGCACATTTCAGGCCTTCAGCTATCGGGTATCGCTTAAAACCGTAAGCACGTAGGGAAAGTACCAGAATAGCTAACTGAAAATACTTTAAACTGCACTTACCGAGCCTTGAAGAAATAGCCACACCAAACTGTCACCGTCCGTCGAGTTGAGGCCGACATACTTGACCAGGCTGGAGTTAAGCAGTGAGACCACATAAGTTTGAAACTGATCGAGAGGCATAGTCGAATGAAGAAGGAGGGATATGGCGAAATTGAATATGATGCAAAATAAAATATGGAAGGATAATATTGTCTGCGGTTAAACATTTGTTGCTATCCACATTATTCGGTCAGTACAAATTTCTCACAACACAACCGGTATGTTGCTCAAATCTGACCTTGACTAAAATTCCATCCGATAGAATTCAGCCCTTAAACGACCTTACCTGCCCGAGTGCAGTGTAGTTTGGGCCTCACTAAAGCCTGATCAACACGTCTGTAGGGACTTGAGACCAAGTCGCACCAGCTCCAGATCAAGTCGTCCGAATGCCGGCGGAGCTGAGATAGAAGATGCTAAAATAAATACCTCAAAGGCAAACCTACATCTGCAAGTGAACCCGAATCTGCTTACAATGGGTTAATAAAAACGCCCGAGCAAAGTTAAGAACCAATTTATGGTCCACAGTTGACCTATAATTTTGTTGCATGACTTTCCATTTCTAAAGAAAAGATGGTTGGCAGAAATTCATGAAATGTCACCTACTGAAACCAAAGGAGGATTGCTGCG